CTGAGTGTGAACGCTGCACATTGGGGGTTATCTAGGGGAACCCAAGGGGGCGGTAGGAAGGAGGGTCCAGTGGACAGGGCACTCGGAGATCCAGGTTCGAGTCTCGACTCCCTGCGTGTGCTCGGCCGAGTCGCTCGCTCTGCAGGGAAGCCACCGGGCTGTTCAGTCAGCGCCCCTAGGGACGCCTGCCCTTGGACATAGCCAGCGGTGGGTGCTCCTGCCCTGGCCCCCGGGCTGGGGCTAGGCCTCGGTGGGATCCCTGAGGTCAGTCCCCTGAGTTCTGCGGGCTCCAGCGCTGGCAGCCTGGGAGCGCCAGGGCCGTCGATCCCACAGCCCATCCAGTCCGAGCTCCCGTGTTACCAGGCCCCAGACCCTCTCCCCCACCGCCCGGGCTGACGCAGAGCGGAGCCCGTAGGAAGAGACGTCCCATCTCCACCCAGTGACTCCGGGGCCCGAGAGTCCAACGCAGCCCCCAGGACAGCGGCCCGTGGGGGTTCCCCTCCCTGCCCCTGCGGCCTGGGGCTCTCAATAAGACGAGCCTGGTGGCTTCTCTCCTCTCTTTACTGGTGGGGGCAGAAATGGCACGTGTACAGGGGCCAGGCTGGGGTAACCGAGGGCCCATTTGCCGTCAGCGCACAGTGGTGTCTATAGGGTTTTGTTCGGGACTTTTCACATCCAGCCCCTTGCTCAGGGAGCCTTCCCCGCCCCCCCATCCAGGTGTCGCTGCCTCTGCCCTTTGTTCCTCTTCCTTCCCAATTCGCTGCCCAGTTTCTGAGTCTCTCTTGCTCCCTCCTTCGCCCTGGCCCCCAACCATTCACCAAAACAGTCAGCAATTCTGTAGAATGTCATCGCTGGCCTTCGATGGGGACGCCCCAGTGCGATCCATGCCTGGCTGCTGGTTTCACTCCTCTCCGAGTAATTGTTTCAGGCTCTCTGCAGACTCTGGCAGAGGTCACTGCAGCGGGCGTGCTTGGGGCATGTGTCTTCAGAGCCGAACAGCTGGAGTCGCTTGTTTGTGTTTTCACTGGGAGCTACAATTCTGCCGAGTCCGACTGGCCTCAGGACACGTCAGGCCGGATCCAGGCCGGGTGTGAGACTCCTCTCCGTTGGAGTGGGCCTGGCGGGATGCAGCTTGGACAGCCAAAGTGCTGCCCCGGGGAGTTCTGGGCCGCTGGGCGGGGATCTCGGCTCCCCCTTTCCAATGGCCTTGGTGCCACAGCGAGAAGTCTCGAGGCCGGGGGGCTTCCCACCCTGGCTGTGTCTGTGTGTGCTGAGCCCTAGGGCTTGAGGGTGCGGCCTTGTCCACCTGGCCAGGCTCCTGGCAGGAGACGCTTGGTGCCGCACAGGAATCCAGGACACGGGCTGACATGGGCTCCCCGGGTCCCATGGGCGACCCACAGCCCCTGCTGTCCAAGCCCTGGGCTCCCCTGCCCCAGCTCCGCCGGTGCCCCGCGCTCCCGACCCGCAGCCCCCCTCCGCTATTCTAGCGTGTGCGTACCTCGCCTTTTGAGAGGCACAGCCATGCAGTGGGGACGAGGCTGAGACGCCCAAACTTGCCTCCTTTGAAATGTCATCAGGACCCCGCTCTTCCCAGACGGTTCTGGGCGCTGGCCCAAGCCCTCGGCGTTACACCACCGGGCTGTTTACTCGTGGATTTCCTTCTCTCCGAGAGCCATAATCCTGGCTTTACGAGGCACAGACAAGGGGTGGCAGGGACGGGTGCAGCGCCCTGGCTGGTGTGCTAGTCTCACCGGCTCCCGCACTCTGCCCTTGGAGGGGTGGGGGGGCCCCGGGCTGGCTCCAGGCATGGGCCAATCAAAGGCTGCTCGCTGCCTCTCTGCGCTTCCCTGATGCTTCTGCGCTGGGTGGCCCCAGATTGTGCCAAGCAGCTTCCTCCTCTCCCCCGGCCCCATTCTTTCCTTCCCCACCCAGCCCTGCGCTGCCCTTTCCCAGCAGGTGCCGTGGCTCCCAGGGCTGGGCCCTGCCTCCCACCTCCCTCAATTCCCCTGTGGATTGAATCCGATGGGGTAGCTGAGCGCTGTGGCCCAGTTGCCTGGGCTCTTCCCAGAGGTGGCTGCATGTGAGTGGTGGATGGTGGGGATAGCTCAGATTTCCCAGGGATTCAGGGCTCCCCTTTGCTCTGCCCGTGCTGGAAGCCAGGCTAGGTCCAGCGCAGCGTGTCCCCAGCGGGCTGATGGGGGCCCAGAGCAAGTGCTACCCTTGTGTGCGAGGGAGGGAGAGCAGCCTGCCTACGTGTAGCCTGGGCTAACGTCATGTCTGTTGCGGGGGCGTAACGCCTATCGTCCTCTTCAGTTACAGCCTCAGCCAGGAGGCACCGCTCAGACTTTTACTTGTTTGGTTTCTTTCCCTGAGGCCTGCGGGGAAGGAGCAGGGGGCTCGGAGAAGGGGACAAGGGGACGGGCGCTGCCCTGCATGCCCAGACACAGGCTCCAAATCCCCTTGCCTGGTGCAGGGAGCCAGGAGGAGGCCAGCAGTGAAGGGAACCCTCCCCCCCACACACACACACACTCCCTGGTCCCCGGGCCCACATGTCCCAGGAGCCCCCCCGCCGTGCTGGATAAGACCCGCCCCATGTCCCACCTGCGGGATGAACCTGCAGGTCGCTTTGCCTTGGCCCGGCTCCCCGCAGGGTCTGCAGGCCGAGGGGAAAAGCCGGTTCTCCCCGCTGCGAAAGGCATGGACGCCAGGCTCTGGCCTCGCGTGTCAGGCTGCGCAGCGATGCTGCGGGCAGTGCGGCGGGCGTGTCTGGACACTGCATTAGTGCCCGCCGTGTGCCTGGCTCTGAGAGGTGAGAGGGTCTCTCTTTCCTCGCCTCAGTCCCATGTGCCCCCCATATGGATGCAGCTTGTGGGTGGGCCAGACCGTGGCTTAAAGGGCCTGCCCGTCCGGTGCCATGGGGCCCTCCTGCTGGCAGCGTGGGAGTAGGTGCAGCATCCTGGGTCAGGATGGGGGGCAGCTGGGAACAGGCAGCGTGGGGGTCGCTTAGGCATGGTGCCTGGCTAGCAAATGACCATGTACCCGCAGGCCTGAGACCAGGGCAAGCAGGGGCCGCCCGCCTGGCTGTGAGCTCAGTGTTCAAGTTCCCTGCGGCTGGCACGTCTCCCCTTCCCCGACAGCACCAGCTGCAGCTAGGCCTGGGTCCCCGGCCTGGGGGCAGATGTGGGCGTCCTTGTCCTGTCCAGGGTGCTGGGATATCAGCTAGTCAGGGAGTGGGCATAGGTGGCCCCTGTGCCACTCCGGGGTGCTGAGCTGGCTGAGCAGATATCCACATAGGCGATCCAGCCCCAAGACCCCCAGGGAGCTGCCCCCCCCGAATGTCCCAGCAGGGGAAAGGGGTGGGGGATGCTGTGGGAACGGCAGTGTTTTATTTCAACTTTATGCAGGGAGAAAATGTTATTGGGGGCAGGACTCCTGGGTGCTGTCCCCCGGTTCTAGCCCAGGCTCTGGGAGGGGAGTGGGGTCTAGTGGTCAGATTGCGGGGGCGGGGGCAGTTGAGAGCCAGGACACCTGGGTTCTGCTCCGAGGGAGTCTGTGGTTAGAGCAGGGGAGCTGGGACCAGGACTCCTGGGTTCTATTGCCATCTCTCTCTCTGTCCCAGTCAGTGCCCCCCGGTTGTTCTCAGGGCTGTCTGCACGCACAGGGGTCTCTGATAGGAGTCCCCAGTACCCCTTACGCTGCTCATCCCCCCCGCCACAGTTGGGGGTCAGCAGCGTGGTGCTGAGGCTGCTGCCGGGGCCCAGGCAGGGGAGCTGGTGGCTCCCCTCCCCTCGTCAGCGCCCAGCCCAGCATGGCACCAGCGGGCCCAGGAGCTCACGGAGCTCAGAGCCACCTGCGGGAAGGGGCATCCCCCGGTAATGCGGTGATCGCAGAATAGCGCTAAACGAGCCTCATGGCACGGCACGAATCCCGGGGGCGGGGGGAGAGTCCGAGAGCAGGGAGTGGGGGTGGGGCAGAGATCGTGGGGGTGGGGGAGATGGGGTGCAGGTGGGAGTGGGGGGTGAGAGGGATTGTGACAGGGGAGGGAGGGTGTGTGTGGGTGATGGGGTGTGGGTGTGAGGGGGGTGGGGGAGAGACCAAGTGGGGGTGTGTGGGAGACAGGGCACAGGTGTGAGTGCGGGGGGAAGGATTGGGGGGTGGGGGAGAGACCAAGGGGGCGGGGTGTGTGGGAGACAGGGCACAGGTGTGAGTGGGGGGGGTGCGGGATTGTCATGGGGAGTCTGTGTCTGACGCTGGCTCAGGGAGCAGGGGGTTCTCGGGTCCAGACGGACTCGCCGGCTCTGTCTCTGTTGGCTGCCATGGGGTCTTCGCCCCGGGGGCGGAGGGGTCACTGCCCCGTCTGGTGCATGGGGCAGAGCTGAGGTAGTTAATGTGGATGTTTCTCTCCCCGATGTCCCAGTGTCAGCCAGGGCGTGACAGCCGTGGGGCAGGACTTCCGGGAAGGGGGCAGGTGCTGCCCCATCCCCGCCTGCCCGCTGCTGTACTGCGGAGCCCTTTGGGGTGTGGGAGCTCCCGCAAGGGCTGGCAGGCAGCCGGGGCATGGCCCTGGCACAGATCCGTCCCTACGGCAGGGCTGAAAGCCCTGGGTGGGGTCACAGCCATGGGCAGGCTGGCGATCCACAGCTGGTCTGGGAGCATTGACGCAGCAAGCCGGGGCATGGCCCTGGCACGGCCAGTGCCCGCTGGAGCCCAGGGGGCTGCGCCAGGGTCAGGTGCCGCTGGGATTTATGCATCTGGATCAGCCCAGGGCTCTGGCGGACTCGGGCTCCTGGCCCAGCCCGTCGGGGCCCGGATCTGGTGCGTTCATTGCTCGCTTGGTGCCCCTGGGGTTGGAAGTGCAGCGCGGTGGCCAGGCCGGCGCCCGCCCGTCCGCAGCAGCCAGGCCCAGCGTGTGCCGTGCGGCCCCGGAGCAGGCTGGCCGGGGGCCCGTCACACCCCTGCACTCGGCCCGCAGCCCAGGGTGACGGTGTCTGTGTCCCCAGGCAAATCGCACCTGGCCATCGTGCAGAAGGTGAACAGCGAGGGCGAGGGCGACCCCTTCTACGAGGTGCTGGGGCTGGTGACGCTGGAGGACGTCATCGAGGAGATCATCAAGTCGGAGATCCTGGACGAGTCGGACATGTACAGTTAGGTGCCCTCTCCCCCGCCGGTGTCCGCCCCCCCCGCCCCGGGTGCAGCGCCACTGGCCTGGCCCCCTCCCCCACTGGTCCCCCCCCTTGGGCGCAGAGCTGCTGGCCTGGTGCCCCCAGCCGGCCACCCCCCCGGTGCAGCACTGCTGACCTGGCCCCAAGCAGCAGGCCCCGCTGGCAGGCAGAGCAGCCACCGGTGTCGTGCTGGGGGGTTGGAGAGGGGACGCACTGAGCACCCGGCTCTTACCTCGCAGCCCCCATTATCCCCGCCCCCTGGGGGGGGCACGACCCTTCTTGGCACCAGTGCCCCCAGGCCCTGGCTGAGGCAGCCGGCGCAGGTAGGGCAGGGGGGAGCCCGGGGCGCGTGCTCGGACTCGAGTGTTGGGGGCCCTGGGTGGGAGCTGGGACTTCTCCCACCTTGACACCTCCTTTCCCCCAGCTGACAACCGCACGCGGAAGCGTGTGGCCAACCAGAAGAACAAGAGGGATTTCTCCGCCTTCAAGGACTCCGACGGCGAGCTCAAGGTGAAGATCTCGCCCCAGCTGCTCCTGGCCGCACACCGCTTCCTTGCCACGGGTGAGCCTCTGGGCCGCGCCGGGACCAGCCAGCCAGCAGGGCTCACGGGCGGGCAGCGGGGGGGATGGGGGGTCAGGAAGGACAAGGGGCTGTTGGAGGGCGGGGAGGGTGGTCAGATTGACGGGGCGATCCTGGCTGAACACTGTCCCGAGTGGGGGCAGAGGCCCAAGCCCTGGCTGGCAGAAGGAGGGCACCGGGGGAGCAGGGGTTGAGAGCAGGTGGCTGGGGAGATCCGGGCCTGGGCTGAGCAGGCTCCGGCGGATGCAGCGAGCTGCTGGTGCTCTGCATGTCTGGCAGCTCCAAGGGCTTTAAGCCCCCAGTTCCCGGTGCCCATCCAGTGCCAGGGGCGAGGAGCCTGGTCTCCCGGCATTGCCCTGAGACTGTCCGGGAGGTGGCGGCCCCAGGCCATGTCGCGGTGGAGCACAGTGAGGGCTAAGGGTGGGGTTGTGGGGGGAAGCACAGGGCACCCGCTGGCTCCTGGTGACCGGGGATCCACCCACGGCCACTCCAGGGCGTGCTCGTTTGGGGCTGTTGGTGGGTGCGCCCGGCGTGGCTGGGCCGTGCCTTGCCTGTCACACACACCAGCCTGTAGGTTTCCCTTAGGGGGGTAAGGACGTGTCAGCCCCTCGCATACCCGTTGTGTTCATGACTTTGGCACACACGTGCCCTGTGCCCGCTAAGCAGCAGAGACAGGCCCTGGCTCCAGGGCGATGGAGATGTGCGCCCGTACAAAAACACACGCCCAGCTGAGCAGGGCCAGGGGAAATGTCCTGCGGTGTGGGGGGGAGCCCCATGCCCGGGCGTGGTAGCTGGCACAGGGCCTTTCCGTCCCGGGGCATCTGGGAATCAGAGCCAGCGGAACCCACTGGGCCTGTCCGGTACTTCTATGACACGGTACTGCTTCCACGCAGGCCCGCGGCCCCTTCCCCCCGCCCCGGCGCTCGTCCCATGCGGCATGGCTCACGCATGCCAAGGCTGCCAGCGTTTCCCTCCCTCTTCCCCTGGCCAGGCGCTCCACACCAGAGGTGGCTGCGTGGAGCTAGCTTGGAATCGGATGCAAGGGGCTTGGCTCGGTCCCCTGGTTCTGTGGAATCTCCTGGGGCAGGGGGTTTGTGCCAGGACCAGGGGCAAGAACATGGCCCTCAGGGGGGCATCTGACCCATCCGCCCTCCCCCACAGAGGTGACGCTCTTCATGCCAACCCTCATCTCGGAGAAGATCCTTCTGCGGCTTCTCAGACACCCCGACGTCATCCATGAGCTCAAGTTCGACGAGGAGAACAAAAAATCGCCCCGGCATTTCCTGTACCACAGGAACAAGCCGGCCGACTACTTCATCCTCATCCTGCAGGTGTGCCCGGGCGGGCGGGGCCAGCCTGTCACCTGCCATGGGGGGCCCAGCGTGTCACAGGGGGAGAGCCTGTCATCTGCTACGGGAGGGGGAGCGTGGAGGCAGAGAGCCCAGTGTGTGACCTGTTGCAGGGAGGGGGCATTGGGGGGAGCCCAGTGTGTCCGCCTGCCGCAGGGGGGGGACGGCTGGGTGCAGCCCATGGGAGAGGAGGGGGGCTGGGCAGCTGTGGGGAGTGTGGGGGGCTGGGTGCAGCCTGCGGGCGAGCCTGGGGTCTGACAGTGTCTGTGCCCTGCAGGGGAAGGTGGAGGTGGAAGCCGGCAAGGAGAACATGAAGTTTGAGACGGGAGCCTTCTCCTATTACGGTGTGATGGCGCTGAACTTGCCCCCGCCGCTGGGTAAGTTGCCCCCACAACCTGTGGGGACAGAGCCACTCCCACACTCACGGGCAGCCCCGGCCAGGTCACTGGCAGGCACGGGCAGGACAGACTGGGCCAGGGCCTGGGCGCCGTCACCTGTCTCGGGGCCCGGAGCCCGGTTGGGAAGGATGGAAATCTGTGTCTCCAGGGAGCTGGAGTGACCCCCAGGACACCCCCCTCCCCAACCGGGCATGGCTAGGGGCTTGCAGGGGTGATACCAGCGCATGGCATCAGCTAGGGACAAGCAGACATGCCGGCTCCCCCCCTGCTCTGCCGGTGCCCCTCAACCCCAACCCGCAGCCCCTGCTAGCCCAGCCCTGGGCTCCCCCCAGCTCTGCCGGTGCCCCTCACTCCCGACCCACCGCCCCTGCTGTCCTAAGCCTGGGCTCCCCCCAGCTCCGCCGGTGCCCCTCAACCCCGACCCACAGCCCCCTGCTAGCCCAGCTCTGCTGACACCCCTCAGTCCTGACGTGCCGCCCTCCTCCTCTCCCTGCTAGCCCAGCCCAGGGCCTTTTCGGAGCGTGCTGGGCCACCACCGGTCCCGCAGTACGGGGCAGGACATCGGCCCCTTGTGCGACTGGCTCCATCTAGTGGTTATATTTGGGTATCGCAGCCTATCGCAAATGGTTCAATACATCCGATGAAGTGAGCTGTAGCCCACGAAAACTTAAGCTCGAATAAATGTGTTCGTCTCTAAGGTGCCACAAGTCCTCCTGTTCCTTTTGCGGATATCCTGTAGTACGACAAACATCCATTAATAGTGACGTTCTGGGAGTCGTGCCCTGGGGGTGCTGCACTTGAAGGGCGTTAGCCCCCCCGCAGCTTTGAACAGCGATTTCATAGAATCATAGAATATAAGGGTTGGAAGGGACCCCAGAAGGTCATCTAGTCCAACCCCCTGCTCGAAGCAGGACCAAATCCCAGTTAAATCATCCCAGCCAGGGCTTTGTCAAGCCTGACCTTAAAAACCTCTAAGGAAGGAGATTCTACCACCTCCCTAGGTAACGCATTCCAGTGTTTCACCACCCTCTTAGTGAAAAAGTTTTTCCTAATATCCAATCTAAACCTCCCCCACTGCAACTTGAGACCATTACTCCTCGTTCTGTCATCTGCTACCATTGAGAACAGTCTAGAGCCATCCTCTTTGGAACCCCCTTTCAGGTAGTTGAAAGCAGCTATCAAATCCCCCCTCATTCTTCTCTTCTGCAGGCTAAACAATCCCAGCTCCCTCAGCCTCTCCTCATAACTCATGTGTTCCAGACCCCTAATCATTTTTGTTGCCCTTCGCTGGACTCTCTCCAATTTATCCACATCCTTCTTGAAGTGTGGGGCCCAAAACTGGACACAGTACTCCAGATGAGGCCTCACCAATGTCGAATAGAGGGGAACGATCACGTCCGTCGATCTGCTCGCTATGCCCCTACTTATACATCCCAAAATGCCATTGGCCTTCTTGGCAACAAGGGCACACTGCTGACTCATATCCAGCTTCTCGTCCACTGTCACCCCTAGGTCCTTTTCCGCAGAACTGCTGCCTAGCCATTCGGTCCCTAGTCTGTAGCTGTGCATTGGGTTCTTCCGTCCTAAGTGCAGGACCCTGCACTTATCCTTATTGAACCTCATCAGATTTCTTTTGGCCCAATCCTCCAATTTGTCTAGGTCCTTCTGTATCCTATCCCTCCCCTCCAGCGTATCTACCACTCCTCCCAGTTTAGTATCATCCGCAAATTTGCTGAGGGTGCAATCCACACCATCCTCCAGATCATTTATGAAGATATTGAACAAAACCGGCCCCAGGACCGACCCTTGGGGTACTCCACTTGATACCGGCTGCCAACTAGACATGGAACCATTGATCACTACCCGTTGAGCCCGACAATCTAGCCAGCTTTCTACCCACCTTATAGTACATTCTTCCAGCCCATACTTCCTTAACTTGCTGACAAGAATACTGTGGGAGACCGTGTCAAAAGCTTTGCTAAAGTCAAGAAACAATACATCCACTGCGTTCCCTTCATCCACAGAACCAGTAATCTCATCATAAAAGGCGATTAGATTAGTCAGGCATGACCTTCCCTTGGTGAATCCATGCTGGCTGTTCCTGATCACTTTCCTCTCATGCAAGTGCTTCAGAATTGATTCTCTGAGGACCTGCTCCATGATTTTTCCAGGGACTGAAGTGAGGCTGACTGGCCTGTAGTTCCCAGGATCATCCTCCTTCCCTTTTTTAAAGATTGGCACTACATTAGCCTTTTTCCAGTCATCCGGGACTTCCCCCGTTCGCCACGAGTTTTCAAAGATAATGGCCAATGGCTCTGCAATCACAGCCGCCAATTCCTTCAGCACTCTCGGATGCAACTCGTCCGGCCCCATGGACTTGTGCACATCCAGCTTTTCTAAATAGTCCCTAACCACCTCTTTCTCCACAGAGGGCTGGCCATCTCTTCCCCATTTTGCGATGCCCAGCGCAGCAGTCTTCTGCCCAGCGCAGCAGCGGAGCAGATTTCTCCTCACAGTGCCCGTTCCGCCCACGCCCGCCTGCTAGCACTGTGCCGGCAAACGCCCGCAGCTCCTTCTCAGCCGCCGCGGCCGGGTTATCCCCATGGAGATTTCCCCAGCTCTGTCCTCGTTTCGGACTCTGATCGCCGGCTGTGGGAGCTCTCAGCATCCGGAGCAGCAGCGTGAGCTTCCTCGTTTAAATATTTCTTTTAAAACCAGACGTCTTTCCCCTTCTATTCCAATAGACACTAGAGAGTTGTTCTCTTTCCCTGGGAGGTTGCGCCTGGTTCTCCCGGCTCCAAACCTTGTCTGGTGTGCGATGCCGGCCACGCCGGTCGCTCCCGCTACATCCACTGCCTCGGGGGATCGCGCGTAGCCCACAAAAGCAACTTCTCTCTGGCACTAAAACCAAGAACCAGGGAGGTGAGGCTGTATCTCCTCCTGAAGGAGAGCCTCTGAGCTAGGCCAAGGCCCCTCCCAGGCACCGGGCGAGCAAATCTGCTGCCTCCCCACTACCGCAGCCCCACTCCTCCCGGGCCTCAGGCAAGACACCAGACTCTTCTTGTAAGTCCTCCTCCCAGGACATGAACCAGGCTTGCCAGGTAGAGAATCTCTCTCTAAAAAGCCAAGGTTGTTGGTGTCTTCTGCCCTCCAGTCGGGTGCCCATGAGGTGGCTGGTTTCTAAGGTACCCATGGCACGGCCTGACTGAACCATGGCAAAGCCTCGGGCCCAGGGAGCTCATTGGTACCGTCAGCGGACCAAGGTGGCAAGAAGAGCTTGTTCCTCTGCTTCCTTGGTACCGAAGGAGCCTGCATGGGCTCCGACCGCGCTTCCCTCAGAGCACCCGAACCCCACAGCGCTGTCAGCACCTCTCCCCCCATCACCTCAGTGCAGAGCACAGACTTGGTGCCGGTCACATGCTTGGTACCGCAGGACGTTTCCCCGGGACCTGGCCGTATCTGAAATGCCCAATTCTCCGACGTGCGGTCGGTACTGAGAACGCTGAGATGGCCTGAAGTTTGCCCGTTACCGACGGTTTCACCGCAGAGCTCTCCAGGTGCGGCGCCGTTCCAGAGTGAGCTTCAGGGAGAGGAGCCTGGTGAAAACCTTGCTCAACTTCCCAAATATCAATTCAGGTTCTCCCCTCACCCCTTCCCAGAAGCCTCTGGTGATGCTAAGATTGCAACCAATGTCTGGCTGGTATGAGCACCCATGGGTGCCTCCCTGTCCTGTGCCTTATGCACCTCCTCCCTGGCCGTGCTGGCCTTGCGCAGCCTAGTGCCAAGAGTTCTCCAGGGCTTCGAGCACCACCCATCGCAGAGAAACAACCTGCATTAGCTGCTCGCCCAGGGACCTGGGACACTAGACCTGGTGAAGAGGTCTCTCCTCCGGCTGACGTCTCCCCCCATCTCCGGGTGACGCTGTCATGCCCCTCGCCCATCCCTGGTGGATGATTTCAAGCTGTTCCAGGATTTGGTCAGGAGAGTTGCAGATTCCTTGCGAGGAGGTGGACGAGCCTCCTCAGGAGCCGCTTGCTACCCTCCACTCTCCCCCACTGGCCGCGTGCCCTACCTGTCAATGAGCCCCTTCTGGACCTGGGGACGAGTGCCCGGCACCCCCCAGCTACCCCTCCGCCTATGGGCAGGAGAGCACCCAGCACCCCCCCCCCGGCTACCCCTCCGGGCGGGAGAGCACCCGGCACCCCCCCCCAGCTACCCCTCTGCCTCCAGGCGGGAGAGCGCCCGGCACCCCCCCTCGGCTACCCCTCCGCGCGGGAGAGCACCCGGCACCCCCCCCCCCCCAGCTACCCCTCCGCCTCCAGGTGGGAGAGCGCCCGGCACCCCCCCCACCCTGGCTACCCCTCCACCTCCGGGCGGGAGAGCGCCCAGCACACCCCCCCCCCGGCTACCCCTCCACCTCCGGGCGGGAGAGCGCCTGGCATGCCCCCACTTCTATTGCGTGCAGGAGAGCAGCTAAGACCTGTTACATCCCGGCAAAGGACTCTTGAGTTTTTCTTTTCTCATCCCTCGGCAGTCAGTGCAGTTAACGAATGCAGAAGGCAGCGCCACGCTCAGACCAGCTGCGTGAGAAAGGCCACAAGGGTCTAGACCTACAGGGGAGGGAATCTTGTTCCCCGGCCTCCTTACAACTTAGAATCACCAGTTACCAGGCGCCGATGGCAAAATACAATCCCATGAACTGTGCCAACCTGAACTCTTGTGCTGACCGCTTGCCAGCAGAGCCGAGGGAGCAAGTCCAGGCGGTCATTGCAGAGGGCCAGCTCCTCGCCAGAGCGTCTCCGCAAGCCCCCCTCAACATCGCGGATACGGCCACCGGTCGGTCGCTACACGGACGTTATGAGACGGGCCTTGTGGCTCCAGTGTGCCAGATCTCCGGAAGAGCTCCAGCAGACCTTCCTTTCCATGGGTCTCCGTTATTCGCAGCCAGCACGGCCGAATCGCTGCGAACGTCAAAGGTC